TGGGTCGCGACCCATAGTTTGGGAAACGCTGGTCTAAAGAATTAACTTAAGTGTTTCTTTGTGTGTTAGTTTATGTTACTGAAGTAATTGTCTTCGCAGTTTTGCACTGTATAGAACAACGCACATTAAACGTCGTTCACTTTTGCACTCGTATAAACGTAAAAGTACCACTGTACAATTAGCCAATAGGTTGGAATATTGGGTTTCCATGTGAGCTAGCATGCATACACGCACGAACTGATTGACACACATTGTTCTTTTAATTTCATAGATTAACACATTTAAAAACTGGATATTGTATTATAATAAACAGAATTCTATTATTAATTTTCTTTCCTGATTTTTCATTATTGGCTCAATGTTACTTGTGAACTGAAACTAAACATTTTATTGCAAATTTCTACAACTAGAATTACGACTGATTTAGTTTCAAGATAAATGGCTTAAATAATTTGTGTATGTGCAAGTTTCTCTCTAAAGTGCCATTGAACTCCATAAATGTAGTAATCTAAAGTCAAGACTAAGATTCTTTGGATATGAAATAGGTGACTAATAACTTTTACTACTTTTTAATAGTTAATAAAGTTAAATCCTCAATATTCTGTATATGTTAAACTTCGTTTTAAAATAGCCTTTTGCTAAAATTTTGATAATATATATTAATTCTAATTTTTAAACCTTTATTATACCAACAATTGTCAGACAGTTAGTAGTATTTGATTATTATGACACATGAACCACTTAAATAACAACACCTATTAGTTCTGAACTGTGCAATGAGATAACTGGTATTCTCAGGTGCTTTAATTTCCACTAACAATAATCAGGTAGGATCTGTAAAATAATAGGAGAGTCGACAGAATAAGTCTTATAGAATAATCAAGAATTCTTTGAATTTAACTGAGTTGAAAAATAAAAGAGGCTAGACACGATTTGCAGCAAAAGAGTGCAAAACGAGTGTATATGAGAGAATGCGCCTTTTCTGGAGATATGCACTGCAGACCTGTGTGAAAAACTGCAAATGTAACCAATCTGTTAAGAAATTTATTGTGTGAAACTATTCCAGACTAAAAAAGTCACCATTATTTATATGCACAAAACAATAATGCTGCTATACTTTTTTAAAAGCACATTGTGCCAAATTATATA